CTAGAGGAGGGTTATTCATGCCTATCTAGGCCAAATCCATTCCTTCTTATTAAAGTCACAATGAATAATCCATTGTACTTTTGACCAGCCTAGGAAGTGACCTCAAGCCCACCACAAATGGCTAACCCTCTAGATTTTATACTTTGTGTGGAGAGAAGCTAGATGCTACCTTCTCTCAGGCACAGAATGTTCTGGACAGAGACCCTTTTCCTTTCTCATGGTAACTGCCCACATGGCCCTAAACATTTTAGCCTATTTAATTCCTCTCCACAAAATTACACTGTCTGACTGTCTCATATCAAGAATTCTTTGGACAAGGAGATGGCTGTGATAGTGGAGTTCACGTCTACCTCTTAAGTCCAAAACACAAGCAGATTTTCTCTACTCTCTTTATTGCTATCATGAAGTCTCTTTATTTTGTTTGAAAGGCGAGCCAGGAGTCCCCGTGGCCTATACTCACACCTCAGAGAACTCAGCAGTCTCTTCAACAGAGACAAATACGAACCTGCCTTCTTACACCGTGGAGCTTGTGAGCCGGGATCAACTTAAATCCAGGGCCTGGTGACAGAAGCTGTGCAATGGCAACAAAAGGAAGGCTTTTGAAGCCTGAGGGCAATTTGGAGCTAGAAATGGGAGGTATCCCAGGAGCTGGCTCCAGGGTTACATGGCACCACCCAAGGCCAGTCCCTACGCATCCTGGGACAACAACACGCATTCAAGTTGCAAAAGAAAGCTTCCGGGGCTTTTTCTGGAGAAGCTCAGAACCTGCCTGGAGGTCATGCAGAGGTGCAGCAGCACTGGCCCCTCCCTCTTTAAGCGTCATTCAGGTTGTTTTTCCTACCCTGAATGCCGTGAAGGCAGGACTGTGCCTGCGTTGTCTCCAAGAACCTAGCACATAGTAGGCATAGAGCATATCACTGCTGAATTAGGCTTGATCTGTGGCAGAGGGTCAGGTGTGGTGTTTACCACGTTAGCTGGAACCAGATCTCTGTAATTCCTATCATCCTTGGTAGGTGTCTTGGGACCTTTAGACTCCCTCCACATAGAGCATGCAAATTGCAACTTGGCTATATGACCTGTAATTAATCTTATCTCTGTGGTAAACCCATAATTTGTGCTGGTTTTTGTTTTGTGTTGTGTTTGAAATGGAAATTGAGCTTCCTGAGAAATGAACTCACTTTGATCTCCACACGTGAACTCAAACGTGTAACATCTCTCTATTGTTTCTGCTGAGAATTTGCTGATGGGCGTCAAACAGACGTGTGGGATCATGGGCCTTTCCAAAGGGCTGGGTGGTTTCTTGGCTAATCACTGTAACTGTAATTACATGCTTGTTCAGATATGGTTCCCCTGGCTACAGAGACAAGGTTTGTGGAAAGAGGAGTGGAGGTGTGATCAAGAGAAGTTTACATAGAAACAATCCTTTTTCCTGGGGGGGGTGCGCGTGCGTGCGTGCGTGCGTGCGTGCGTGCGTGTGTGTGTGTGTGTGAATGAGCCCACTCCCCAGGCTCAGAGGAAGCAGGAGTGTGAACAGGAAGTGGACTGTCATCCTGTGCTGCCCAATGACAGGTCACGCTGTCATCCTACCAAGGAACTAGCTGGGTGACATGCACCACCCATGCATGGCCTATTCCTGCTCAGCCTGGGACAATGGCACATGTTCGAAGTGCAAAGGAAGGATTCTGGAGCTTTTTCTGGTGACGGAAAAGCTCAGAGCCTGCTTGGAGGAGGTCAGAGCTATAATATTGACCTCATTTGCAATCTCTCTACCCAGCAAGATAAAAATATCTTTTAAAAAGGAAAGATTTCCAGAGGGCATTCTTGGAAAGCAATCTTCTTAACAACTCTTACTTCTATATTCCTGGGCCAGCTTGCTGTCAATCAATGTTACCTGCTGGTCTCAGTAAAAAAAGCTGGTCAGTGTTCTATAGAATCAGGAAAATGGGAAAGGAGCCAGAATCCACAGGCAGCACCCTGCAGGCAGAAAGGGGCCCAAGCCAGGCCCTCTGCTCTTCGCTGACCCCATTAGTAACCGTGAGGGGTTTTCTTCTCACTGGGAGAGACCGAGGAGTGAGTTGAAGAAAAGGAGATGTGCGTCTCTACCAGTTTGGTGGCTTCCAGTGGCTGTCACTTGTTTGTTTGCACACCAGGTTCTATGATCAGGAGTGGGAGCACAGTAGGAGAACCCCAGAAAGCAGAGCTGGATGGAGAGAGACCAACCTCTGGGGAGGGGCAACCCGAGGTCATGAGTTGGATGAGAGATGCTCTTCATAAGTTTTCTAATGACTTGGGTCATTTCAGCCTGTTGATAAAATTAAAAAAAAAAAAAAGGTGCTGGGGATATTTCAGGAAACAAGACCTTTGTAAGGCTCAGAACAAAAGCAGAGAACAGTGTCCTATTCTTCTAGATGTTGCCAAGAAATCAAGGTCAGATGCCATGGAGGCTGAGCCCCTGAGGACCCTGATGAACACACATTGGCCCCCAAAAGTTCACCAACACACCGTTTTCCAACTTCCCTGCAGAGTGCCCCAAGGGAGAAAGTAAATGAAATTTATTATCACTCGACTCCTGGGGCAGGAAAGTGACAAATCACTAGTATGTCTAAATGCTTATTCCCCCTACCAGTATATCCTCGAAGATGGGTGACGTTTCCTCCTTCCATAGACCATAGTGGACATGCCAGAGAAACGCTGGGTGATACATGTGCTCTTTGAGCTTTCATTTAAATGAGAGGAAAGTTGTGGTCTTGAAGATGGGAAGACGTTCCTTCAGAAAATTTTGGGTGAAATTTTGAAGGTGGAGAAAGGAATATTAGGGGAGTGGGGCCTTACTGGCAGGTAGGCTCTGTCAGGCGGGTGCCATCTGGCTGCATGCAGTCAAGCTCTTTATCTCTGCCATCTGGTCTTCCAGTTCTTCAGTGTTTAATGTGGAAAGCATGTCATTAATATAGGTCGGAGGGAAGTGCAGAGATCTTCTTCAAACAACACAGCCAGAGACTGCCAAGTTCAGGTTTAATTTAGCTGTGTATTTAAATACATTGAAATCTTCTCTCAAAAAAAAATTTTATTTAAAAGAACTTAAAAAAAAGTTCCTTGGCCTCATAAATGGTTACTTATGGTGGATGAGAGGATGTGTGTGGTTATTTTAAAAGTTCATCAAGCCTATGATGTCACAGGGAGGGGGGAGCAGGGAGAGGCTAGGCAGCAGCATAAAGATGAGCAAAACGGGGTTTTATCTAGATCACTCTTTGTCAAAAATTCGTATTCGACTATGAGTGGTGTCTGCATCCTTGAGCCCAGGATAGGGTCACGGTGGGCACCAAACAGCTAGAGAAAGTAGAACCCAGTACACCTACGCCACCCCCTTACACACACACACACACACACACACACACACACACACTAGCTCCATAGAGCTGGCTTCTCTCTTGTTGCTGTAATATTTTTGGCAACAATCATTCCCTTTAAAAAGTTTAATTTCTACTTTGCAGGAAAAAGAACCCAACGAATAGAAAACTCCAATTATGTGTGTCCCATGGTATTCCTGTCTAATCCTTCCCAATATTTATGTACACAGTCATCAGTGTTAATCTACTACTTTGTGTTCTCATTTTTCACTAATTACGTTTTTATCTTCCCATTTCTATGTGTGGATAGTTAAGTTATAATAACTGAAAGCCCCAAGTAGGTAGGATGCATACACCGCCATTTTTATTAGCTATCAATTCCTAGCCGTCCTCCAACTGTTGGATTTGCAAGGTTAGGATCAGAGCTTTACAGGTGAGAACAGTGGTAGCTGTCATCCAGGATGCCTTTTCCTGGAAAGGTATGTGATCTGAGCTAAGCAGAAACATGGTTTCAACTCTCTGACTATTTCAGAAGTTTGAAAAGTTCAGGCCCAGAAGAAATGAAGTTAGCGAAAAGGTTTAGGTTGCTTACTACTTTATAACAGGCCATGGGTTTAAAGTCCAAAAGGGCTCGGATTTTTACCCCATGTTTGACGTCTCTCAGACCTCAGTCCCAAGGAGAGCGAGCTGAGCCAATGTCCTTGCTCCCCAGTCCACAGCAGTGATATGAGGGCTCTGCAGCCCTGGGCCAGCACTCCCAACTGTGGCGCATGGGAACAGAGACACCAGCCATGCCGGTATCGCTAACCTCTGTGCTCTTCTCCCTGGCTCTTCTGGTGTGGATGAGAGGAGCCTCTGCCTGTTACTGTTGCAGAATAACGAGTGGATTAGCCACAGGAGTTGCTGTGGCGTGGCAAGAAGAATGAATGGTGAGCAGCAAGCAGTGTAAGGCCCAGTTGGACATGCAGAGGTGTAATGGGAACACAGAAAAGAGAAGCACAGATGGACTAGACACAGCTGGAAGCAGCTAAAGCTGCCCAAAGGCTTCTAAGAGCTGGGCTACAGGGGAACTGAAAAGTCCTCAGCTAAGGAGCTAAGGGTTTCTCACACAACGTGGCCTTTCCCCTTCTATCCTCTGCTGTTTCCCTTTTTAAGTCACATCTATAGTGTGCATAAAATATACTGTGGACGTTCAGCTTAAATGATGGAGAGTTCTGTCCTTATCTACTTGCAGGCTGAAACGGCCTCTTTATGTGTTATTCTTTTCCCAGCACAACATCTAGGACAAAGTAAGTGCTCTGAGAAGCTTGGTTGAAGAGAGCCCTCGTCTCACATTCTTCTGAGTTACTGGTAAACTCTGGCATTAGATTCCAATGTGAAGTTAGTACTTTGTTCTTAAAGAGCCTGTGCCGGAGCTTGGCGATTTGCCATCTATTTGCTGTTGTTCTTTTTTTTTCCTCTTTAAATTACTTGATTGTGGTTTGATGCCTTCTATAGGTTGAACAATGTAGTTGATTTTATCGACTCTCATATAGCAAATCGGGTGTCTCACATTTTAACAGATGCCTTTGTCATCCCATTAGCTTTGTCATCCCATTTTACTTGTAAAATGCCTAATTTCCATTCTCCTTTCTCTGTGTGCCTCTCCAACAGAGCTCTCAACCCCATTGATATAAAGCTCCGAGGACACCCACAGATCCTGCACTAAGAATTCAGTTCCGGTCTTCGGCAGATGGGCGTCAGTATCACCTACTAGCCAGCAGGATGGAGACCACACCGTTAAATTCCCGGAAGGAGCTGTCGGTGTGTAAGGATGGAGAAGATTGTCAGGAAAATGGAATTCTACAGAAGGGTGTCCCCACACCTGGGGACAAGGAGGAATCCGGCCAAATCTCCAATGGGTACTCAGTGGCACCAAGCCCCAGTGCAGGAGATTGCACTCAGCACTCCGACCCAGCTGCCACCGCGGTCCTAGTGGCTGAGGTTCATCAAGGGGAACGGGAGACCTGGGGCAAGAAGGTGGATTTCCTCCTGTCGGTAATTGGCTACGCCGTGGACCTGGGCAACGTCTGGCGCTTTCCCTACATATGTTACCAGAATGGAGGGGGTCAGTATCACGGGCCCGGGGGTGGCCTGTACAGCCTCTTGGGAGGTCAGAGGATAAATCATGTCTTTTCTGTCTTGTTTAACTGATATGAATCTGGGAACATGATTGCTTAGACTTTGAAACTTATCTAAAAGATAAATCGCCAGTAAGCCAACACTTTAAGTCAGCATGTCGGAGGCTTTTGGGTTATGACGTTAGGTGAAATCTCCCAAAGCAGACCTCAGCCTATTTTCAGCATCATTAGTGCCCCATTTGCTGAAGAACCGCCTTTTCATCCCTGCGTTGTCCAAGCTCCACTCACCAACCATCGAGGGATGACCAGCAGCATTGTGTTGAGCTCTTTCACTCCTGCTGGCAGGTTCTGCTCAGAAGCATCCAGAGAGGGTAGTTCTGTGTGACGACAAATTGGAAGGTAGCTCCAGGGTGCCAGATCCTCCTGGGCCTTTGGACCTGTGTGAAGTCAGAGAAGGGTGTCGGCTCAGGTCCGGAGTCTTAAGTGACAGTCTGGGCATGATCTAGAGTGAACCCAGCCCCAGCCTGACACTAATGTCAATCCCAAACTCTGAGTGGATGGACCTTATAGCTCCTACAAGAGTGTTCGATTTTTGATGCCAGAGACTATTGCTTTTTCCTCTTTCTATCCCCACCGCCTCCAGGGCAGTTAACTAGTTGATTATGAAAAATAGTAGCTGACTGTAGGCATGCATATGGGAGCCCCAGAGAGTAGAGTAAGAGAGAGGAGTGCATAGGTATGGGGGCTCTGTGCTGACATTGGACTTGCTATCAGAATAAGAAAAGGACGAGAGATGGGAGTCAAATCAGCCGATATTTATTCCGACAGGAGCTCTGGCAATAGATTTGGGAGGGTAGCTAAAATGAGGTTTGGGGGATAATTCATTTGTGTTCCCCAACATTTCCTCTATGGCCTGACACAGAGTTGCCTGGATTTACTGCTTTTAAGGGCCATGGTCCATGCAGCTGCAAAGGCAGTTTGGTTCTGAAGTGGGGGGTGGGGTGCGGGAAGCCCAGCGCTCCCTGCCTGGGAGGAGCGTTCCAATCGCCTTATCTCCAGCTTGGGAGATCTCACCTTTAGCCTGAGCATTATGTAAGGGGCTGGGTCACCGGTGTCATTTCCCCTACACTCACTCCCTACGGTAAAGCCAGGCAAGCAAACTCTTTGGACCAATGCCACCCTGAGAACACAACGTGGTTCTTATTCTCAGTCCAGATTTCCCCAGTGTGATTCTAAGTTAGGCAGGACCTTTCTGAGCTGCCCTGACTTCAGGCTTCCAGGTTCATAGCACTTTACGGGAGGGAAGGTTATTGGGGAAAATCACAGCTGACCCATCCAGTGGGCTAACACTCAGGCTGCAGGGTACTGATCCCCTACTTAGCATTTCCAAAATCTGCCTCAGCCATGAGAACCAGGAGACACAAGCATTGCCAGAGATGCAGAAGCCCCACCCTTGCTCAGTCTGGGATCAACTACCCTTTTCTGCCCCCTCCCCCCCCCCCTGCAAAAGTGGCTCAGGAGGGGGCATTCTGGCTCCATGGAATTATGGAAAACAGCCAAACGTCAATAATCAAGTGTTTGGAGCCAAGGATAATACAGATGAACAAAGATACTAATTCCGAGATTCGTAGATTATTGCAGCTGTTGTGCAGGTTGTCACAGATCTGTTCCAAGGGTCTCAAATGCTGGTCCATGTACTGGTTGCATTAGAATCACCTGGGGAGCTTAAAATTTTTCCTGTGATACCCATTCCTGGAGCTTCTGTTCACCAGTGATTGTGATGCATGACTGTTTGGGAACTTCAGCTCTCCTCAACCCTGTCATTTTATAGGGGAGGACATACTCAGAGGGGAGAAGTGGCCCAGGGTCCTCCAGGCAGTTAGAAGTGGCACTGGTCCCAGGGCCTGTTCTGTTGACTCCCAAACTCAGCTTTCTTTCCATTTCCTCGCTACCTCCTCCAAAACCTCGCTTTTGCTGTGGAGCTGTGTCTACGACTGCTTCTGACAAAGTACCAAGACCAGGGAAGCACAGTGTGAGGTCCCTCAGCACAGAGGAGATTCGTGACGCTCAAGCATCAAATGCTCTGTGATTCTCGGTGTGATCCCTAGTGTCCAGATTAAGTTGGGCCGTCCTGGGACAGATATGGGCAGGGAGTGAAATTGTCTTTCATCTGCCTCAGGGGCGTTCCTCCTCCCCTACACCATCATGGCCATCTTTGGGGGGATCCCACTTTTCTACATGGAGCTTGTGCTGGGCCAGTACCACCGAAATGGATGCATTTCAATATGGAGGAAAATCTGTCCGATTTTCAAAGGTAACTGGAAGGCTTGGGTGAGTGGGTAGGTTTTCTATGGACGTGGTGATTTCCATCAGTGGGTGGGAGTGGGTGACCTTCTGCAATCAGTTCCGCCTTAGGCAATCCTGGGAGATAACTTGAGTACAGTAATTAAGGTTTTGACTGCTCCAGCGGTGTGAGATTGTTGAAGTGAAATAATACATGGCAATTAACAGCAAACCAAATAGAAAACCAAGTGCATTAACAGCATACACACACATTTTCTGCAACATGTAACCTTGCAAATACACAGAAGGCGTTGACCACATTGTCACTTTTCCGCCATCTCCCAGAGTCTTCGGGGAATGAAGTGAATGGCAGCCCCTTCGTTCCCCCTCCCCTGGCTGTAGTGCCCACCAGTGCCCTGTTTCAGCCTTTCACCATCGGCCGCCTTTTCCAATTGGCCTCCCTCACCCTCTCTCCCAGGGATCGGTTACGCCATCTGCATCATTGCCTTTTACATCGCCTCCTACTACAACACTATCATGGCCTGGGCGCTGTACTACCTCATCTCCTCCTTCACTGACCAGCTGCCCTGGACCAGCTGCAAGAACCCCTGGAACACCGGCAACTGCACCAATTACTTCTCCGAGGACAACGTCACCTGGACGCCCCACTCCACGTCCCCTGCAGAGGAGTTTTACACGTAAGTGCCTGTAAGTGAGGGGGAGGCCTGTTGGGGGCAGGCAGGCCATACCCCTGGGGTGTTGGCTTCTTAGGAGGGAGGCGGGGAGCAGGGGCTTGTCACCTGGATTTCTGAGAGAGAAAGCTGTTAGGGTGAGGGGGGTCAATGTGAGTGAGGGAGGGAGGGACGGGGCTGGCCCCAGGCTGGATTTAGAGTTGGGTGTTCCATACCCTGGCCCTCTGTGCCATCCCATCCTTTCTGGTGCCATGTCAGATGGCCCCAACATGTCCAGGATGATTCCTACCTTCACATTCCAAAATTACTCCCCTGCTCTAAAACCGCCCTTCTTTCTGGGCCCTCCACTCAGCCTCTCAGTGTCATGGAAGCAAAGCCTCTGAACCCGTCAGTAGTTTGAAACTATTCACATGGTTCCTGGTTTCATGCGTCCACTTCATAAGTGGGATCTACCTTTTGGAAGATGATTCCTGGAGTACGTAGTATTCTGTAATGCTGGAATTTCAGGCAATGGCAACCCAAAGGGAGAGCTATTTGGGGGTGGGGAAGGGGTCCACTACCCACATATACAAATCCACGTGAACCCAAAAGCCAGTCATGTTGGCCATGTTTCCTGGTTGCTCAAGCCCCAGCCAGGAAAGGAGAGACCTGGAAGTCTGCCTTTGGGCAGAGCGCCCTTCCCAGGGTCTGTTGCCTGAATGTGCTGCTCTCTCCTTCAGGATGGGCAGAGCCAATCCCAGCTCTCCCAGATGTTTAGGGACCACGTGGCCCTTGCATCACAGCGTCCATTTCTTCTCTTGGCACTCTCCTAGAGGCTTCACCAACACTATGCTCAGGTCACTGTTCAGACCATCTCACGGACTCTTTTTTTTCTTTGACTCCAGGCGCCATGTCCTACAGATCCACCGGTCAAAGGGACTTCAGGACCTGGGGGGCATCAGCTGGCAGCTTGCCCTCTGCATCATGCTGATCTTCACTGTTATCTACTTTAGCATCTGGAAAGGTGTCAAAACATCTGGCAAGGTGAGGAGGACTCTGGCTGCTGACCCAGGCCTGCCAAGGAGCCCCAGAGGATCTCAAACTCCGAACTTTGTAGCCCCGACAAGGGGACATTACTTCCTTCAACATCAAACATATTCCACTCAATCTCAATCTCTCTTTGCCAAATCTGTTAGAAAATTCTAGAAATGGGCCCATCCCAAGGACCATCAAATAATTTTTTTTAATTCCTTTAACCCACAGGTAGTGTCACCATTAATAATAGTGGCAATCATTTATTGAAAACCCATTGTGGACCCTGTTCATTGCTTTATATACACTGCCTACTACTTGGTTGTCTCCAGCTCGATATTTTCCCCATTTCACAGATGGGGAGTGGGTTTAGAAGTAGTTAGTACCAGCAGCCAGTGAATCAGATCCCTGTTTGATTCTAAAGGCTGTGATTTTTCTGCCACACCACCCTGTCTCCTAACATTACAGGGAAAAAAAGAGGTAGACCTCCTTTCTTGGAGGTTTTCAAGAATGAAAGACACCACTGTCCACATGGTGATAACCTGTGTTTCCTTTCTCATAGGTGGTATGGGTGACAGCCACCTTCCCTTACATCATCCTTTTGGTCCTGCTGGTGAGAGGGGCCACCCTCCCTGGAGCCTGGAGAGGTGTTGTCTTCTACCTGAAACCCAACTGGCAGAAACTCCTGGAGACAGGGGTAAGACGATGAGGAAAACGGTGTATGCCTATCTGTCATTTTACTAACTGAAGCTAGTGCTCTGAATAGGACAGTAGGAACAATGGAAATTTGGGTTCAATGGCATATCTGCCATGATGCTTTAAAACCAGAACTACAAGCATGAAAAGTACAGTCGAGGCCACTGGGTTTGTTTATGCCTACATGATAGGAAGAGAAATCACAGTTGTTTGCACTTGGTATGTGGCCATCCCTGGAATGAGCCTTGAGAGCTGGTTTTTCATGTCTGCACGTAGCTATGTGGAAGCATGAGGATGCTGGCCCTGCTGGTACCCAGCGTTGGCTCAGGTCTCCTCCCTTCCCCTTACCTCCGCTATGTTCTAGGTGTGGGTAGATGCTGCCGCTCAGATCTTCTTCTCTCTTGGTCCCGGCTTCGGGGTCCTACTGGCTTTTGCTAGCTACAACAAATTCAACAACAACTGTTATCAGTGAGTATCAGGGGCTCCCCAAGCAAAGCTGGAAAGTGGGGGGAGTGTAAGTCAGCTGGTCTGGAGGAAAGTGATGGAACCGATGGCTTCAAACCTGTCCGGGCTCAAGCCATGTTGACACTCTGACCCTCAGGGGTGTCCCGGGTCCCTGACCAACTCATCCATGGCCAGAGCACCCACCCGAACTGTAGCCTTACCCGGGCCACTCGGGGGTTGAGAGAGGCCCCAGGCCACTACCGTTTTGTGAGAATCTCTCTGTATATAAAAAAATTAGAGCTGGCCGAGTGGCACAATGGTTAAGAGCTGGCTTGGGATGCCAGAGGGCCTCGGTTCAGATCCCACATATGAGGGCCAGTGACACTGCCCTCCACAGCTAAGATGCTGAACAACAGCTCAACCTGGAGCTGGGCTGCCGCGAGTTGCCGGCGACGGTGTAGTCTGCAGTCCCTGCTGCAGTGGGTTGCCATGGGCTACCATATGTAGCCAGCAGCCAGTATGAGTGGCCATCCAGAAGCCAGTGACTGATCTGCCTCGCCTGGGAAGAGCGCAATGATGGTGCCAACTTGGGCCAGTGAAGCAACGTCCTCCACAACTAGACTGAAGAACAAAAGGACAGCAACTTTTCTGTTCCCCTTCCCCCAATTCCCCAGCACTGTTCCCATCCCCCAATTCCCCAATAAAAATTAAAAAAAATTAATTAAGCAATTCCAAAGGAGGTTTACAAAAATTGCAATAGACATTAAATGTTTATATTTGACTTACTGTGTTCAACAAAAATTATAATGTGGTAATTTGTTTATGTATATATACACAGAAAGCATAATGATTGAACTCTTTTGACCAAGACAAATGCCATAATTTGGTGGCAAAAACGTCATTTTACAACTTTTGACAAATCAGAGAGTGCTGTACCAATTAATTATGATTTGAATATCACTCCTCTTTAGAGTTAACATTTTTTTATGTTCCATCACAGATTACAATGTCCAGCAATCTAATCATGCTATTCATAAGATAGTTACAGAATTTATTTATTTTTTATTTATCTGTTTATTTTAAATTTTTTTATGTTTGAAATAAGTTCTCATTTGATAGTTTTATATTGTATACTTTTTAATTTTAAAAAAATATTTATTTATTTAAAAAATTTTTTTTTAATTGGAGAACAATGTTTTTCCGGAACCAATCAGCTCCAAGTCAAGCTGTTTCAATCTAGTTGTGGAGGGCGCAGCTCAGTGGCCCATGTGGAGATCAAACTAGCAACCTTGGTGTTATGAGCACTGCACTCTAACCAACTGAGCTAACCAGCCGCCCCAGAATTTGTTTTTTTAAAAAGCGGAATTCACATGCACCCTAAGCCATATGGCCTTGCCTTGGGACACCAGCTGGAAGTGGTAGGATGAGGTCTTTTTAAGAAATGTCAGGATATCTCTGTGGCAGTTGTAACCTCATTTGAACAGAACGTCAAAAATCTAAATCTGAGGACTTCACAAATGTGAGGCCAAGGCCTCTGCCTGGCCCTACCCCAAGCCTTGTTTGAAACCAGGAGGTCTGTGTCGTGCTGGTTCACACCAGGACTATCTCTTAAAATAAAACCTCTCCTGACCTGCTGTCCTCCCGTGCTGTGTGTGGTGGTGATGTGCATCCAGGCTGATCCAACCAGTCTAAGAGGCTGAGCTCTGGGAAGGGACATCAGGACAAGCTTGAAGTCCGTGGGAGCTGAGCCTGCTCACCCCGGGCTTGGCTGGAGACAGGTGCTCCTTAGAGCTGACTTGGAAATGTCTCAGCCCCTTTGGTTTTTTTGCTCCAGAGATGCCCTGGTGACCAGTGTGGTGAACTGCATGACGAGCTTCGTTTCGGGATTTGTCATCTTCACGGTGCTCGGGTATATGGCTGAGATGAGGAATGAAGATGTGTCCGAGGTAGCCAAAGATGCAGGTAGGAAGACCTCAGGTTCTGTGTAGATCCCTGGCTCCCACTGAATTGCTTTGCTGCTCTGTGGATCTTTTCCATAGTTAACTTCTGAATTATTTCTAAATGTTCCTTTGAAATGTTTCAAAGGTTTTAGAGATACTTAACTGCCTTGGCGATCTCAACCCTTTCCATGCGTTCAGGCCATGGTGGGGATGGGGCAGCTCCCTTGGTACCCAGGATCGGGGCCTTGAACAGACTCTGGGCTCCTCCCCTCTACCCCTCTGTCTCAGGCCCCAGCCTCCTCTTCATCACGTATGCAGAAGCCATAGCTAACATGCCGGCGTCCACGTTCTTTGCCATCATCTTCTTCTTGATGTTAATCACACTGGGCTTGGATAGCACGGTGAGTGAATGGGGAGGGAAATCGGGCTGTGGACAGTAGGAAGAGGAGGAGGAGAGGAGGGGAGGAGAAAGGGGAGGAGAAGGAAGAAGCTGTGCCCATTCCCTCCCATCCCGGTCACCCCAGGGGTGTTGGCTGCTCCCTCCTGATGCTCCCCAGCCCTTTGTCACTCCTCGTGGACTGTGCTTCCCACCCTTCATTACATCAATGAGCTAATGCCTGGCACACAGACTAGGGACTCAGCATATGTGAACGGTTATTATTGTGCACGGTGCCTTGACCAGACAGCAGCCCCTACAGGCCAGGGCAAAGTCACTCTTGTGTCTCAGTGCCCTACCACCCAGCTCAGCCCCGTGCCTTGCACTTAGTCGTGTGGAATGAGTCTCAGCTTTGAGTTGGCGTCTCTGGTGTCATCAAGGTCTCCCCAAGAGACCTCACATAAAGAAGTCCTGTCTGTGTTTTCTTTCTTTGCTGTCCTTAAGGATGGGTTCTAAATGACAGTGTAAAACAGTGGAAACAGATTTCCAATGAAGGCTGGTGTGTAGGGGGAGCTGGTCATGAATCACCTTGATCACTCGGCAGCCTTCACCCTTCCTTCCTGTTCACTGTCCTAGGAGATAACAGAGTTGTCCCAAAGCCTCCTGTGACCGTTTGTGTGTCCCTCTCAGTTTGCAGGCTTGGAGGGAGTGATCACGGCCGTGCTGGATGAGTTTCCGCACATCTGGGCCAAGCGCCGGGAGTTGTTAGTCCTCGGTGTGGTCGTTACCTGCTTCTTGGGGTCCCTGGTAACCCTGACTTTTGTGAGTACTGCAACCCTCAGCTTTGAGTCAGCCTCCCCTAGGGAAACAGAATGCCACAGAAGCTGTTTCCTGCCTTCCATCCCTCAGAGTGCCCTGGCTTTGGGGCCAAAGGGAGAGGGGTTGTCACTGCTTATAAAAAAGTTTGTCATCAAGGATCAGAGAAAAAAAAGTTGTTTCTGGTGGTGTCTGTAGAATCTGTGCACGGTACCTGGAAGCTCTTAGCATTTTACAGTAGATCCAACTAGATTTCAGGCAGAATATCGGGAGAAAAACTAAGAATTGCTTTTCCAGTTTATTTCCAGTTTGTAGGTCTGCTTTCATGGGAATATTGCCCTGATGTTCTGATATGCAGAATATCTGGAGGCTAGCGTCTCAAGTTTGTAATGTCACTGTCTTCTCCAGAGAACTTTCAGTGGTGAAGGAGTCAGACCGTCTCTGGTGATTTATTTTTTATTTTTATTTATTTTTTAGCTGAAGGAAATACTGTAAAACTGTAAAACAGGCATCAGATAGTACCCACAGGCATCTTAGGCTTGTGTCCTCCTGACTGAAGGCAGGTTTTGCAGATATGCCTCTGCAAGCCATGACCCCAATGACTGTGGAGCTCAGGGGCCCTGAGCAAAGATCCAAGGGATTTGTGAATTAGGACTAAGGGCAAAACCGTGACCAACGTGCTCAGTGTGTCTGGTATTGTAGACTCTCTCAGATTCAGTTTTTAGGGGCCAGATTCACCAAGGTAGAGAATGCAGTAGATGTTCAGTAAATTGAAGAAAGTTGAAAATAAATCCAGAGGCCGTTTTGAGTTTGTTTCCGTAAAGCTTAGTGGTGAGAGGAAACATGAAGAGATTGTTCCATAGAGAGGGAAGAGGCTTCTCATGGAATGAAATCTGGCCCGCTCTGACAAAGCCAGTCCAAGAGGCAGGCTCTGGGATACTTATATGAGGTCCAAGGTGGGAATTTTCCAGACTTATCCTAAGTTCAGAAGCTTCTTTTGGCCCCTCTCATAAAAAGGAGGCAGTGCCTCAGAGGGCCCTTAACGAGGTTCGTGATCTCATTTCCAGGGAGGGGCCTATGTGGTGAAGCTGCTGGAGGAGTATGCCACGGGGCCCGCAGTGCTCACCGTCGTGCTGATAGAAGCAGTCGCTGTGCATTGGTTCTATGGTAAGATATCTCCTTCCACCAGCCCGTAGCCACCAGAACAGAGATCGGCTGATTTTATCAAAGGGCAGGGCAGTGTACAAGATGCCACTTCCCTGTGAGTCTGTAATGTAAGCTCAGCTGAGTGACTTCACCAGAAACAGGTCAGTGTCTCCTCCATGCTCTCCACAGCAGATGGCTCGTACCCTCGGGAGGGCGTTGTTGTTTTTTTTCCTGCTGAGTTTAAAATCTTACCCAGTGGAGTAAGGCTGACACTTCCCTGCAGCTCATCCACAGTGGGTGTGTAAGACCCTGACTGGCTCTAAGAACTGGACAGAACACCAAGAATTAGTGCGTGGCGTATGCATTTGCAGAGTGTACCATATTCTACTGTTACAGTAATTTAAATTTTGAAAGAGATCCCTCCAGAGCCCTGAGCTTATCTTCTAGGGAAGAGGCAAGAAAGTTCCTCTTTGTATTATCTACCCTGAAGGGACCCCCAGTTCACCCCCTCTGATCCTGGGATGGAACCTGAAACCACCAGGAGGAGCACAGAGAATGAGCTGATATTGGGTCCATTGGCGGGGGTCCCAGGAGCCCCTGGGTGGAGACGGGGAGGGTGCAGGCAGTTGAAATGAAGACAGCCGGGTTCAGAGATGCCTCTCTTCATCTGTAAACTCAAGAGGTGACTATTTCATTCTGAAAATGTATTTATTGTCCTAGTTTCTATGATAATAAAACAGCGATAGCATGTTTGTTATTACTCACAGTATGAAGAAGGGGGCCCCATATTTTGAGTTGCATGGGAGCCCAGTTTTTCAAAAAGAACTCCTCCACACCTCATCAGCAATTCCAAAGACAAAGTCAAAGTGTGTGAATCACCATAGACCTGCTGGAGAATTGCTGGGTATGCTCAGGGAAGCACCACCCCTTCTCAATTTCTCACCAGTCAGAGTTCTCACTTCTCACTTCCATGCCATTCACATTTTTCTTTCTTTCTTTTTTTTTTTTTGCGATTTGGTAGCTTTTGTGTATTTTTTCCCTCCTCCCCCTCCCGCTCCCCCTCCTCTTTCTTCTTTTTATTATTTATTTGCCATTTACTTTTGAGAAAAAGACCTTGATCTGGCACATGAATGGGCAATGTTGTGGTTAAAATTTTCTCTTGAAAGTTTCTAGTATATGGTCAAAGTCAGTCTCTGTTGAGCCGGTTCATCATTCCTAGACAACATTTAACTGTCTCTGCTACAGTAACAATAAAATAAAATATATGCTGAGATCTTAGGAAGGCAATGTGGGCAGCAAGAGGGGACTTTAGGTTCCTCTCCAAATGTCCACCTATCTTCTCACTTTATGTAGAAAGAACATTGTTTGCTATAAAATGCAGTTTGATGACAGGCCCCCATGTCCCATTTTCAGACCAGATTGGTGCCCTTGAACCCCTCCTCTGAGAAATTCCAGAGCTGCCTCTCTCTCTGAGAATCAGGGGATAGGACAGTCCATGTCCTCTTGCAGTCAATCAATATCTTTCTCTTTCGGATGATTTTAGGCATCACCCAGTTCTGCAGTGATGTGAAGGAAATGCTTGGCTTCAGTCCTGGATGGTTTTGGAAGATCTGCTGGGTAGCCATCAGCCCCCTGTTTCTCCTGGTGAGTTATCATTCCCCTTCTCCTTTTGACCCTGGCGATAGATCCATGCCAACACGTATACAAAATAAATTTTATTGAAGTGTAACATATTTACAGTAAAGGGTGCAAATCATAAGTGTACATCGCAACAAAATTTTATAAATTAAGCACACTTCCATAACCAAAATCATACCAAGAAACAAACACATGACCAGCATTTCAGAAAACTCTCTTGGGTCCCCTCCCAGTCACCATTTAACCCATGGTTAACCACTCTTCTAACACCACAGAGTCAGCATATTGCATCACTCCTCTGCTCAGTGATAATGATAAATAACATTTAATGAACACTAAGTGCCAGGCTAGACTTTGTGCAAAACTTACAACCATTGCTTTTTTAATCCTCACAACAATTCTATATGAAGGAGTTAGAATACCTTGCTATACATTTAAGAAAATGGAGGCTGAGAGACATTAAGGAAAGGTTCCAAGGTCACATGACAAGTAAGAACGGTTCAAGGCTGGAGAAGGATTTACCGGGCTGCTCACGAGGCCCGAGGAAGGGCCCTAATAATTTTGTGTTTATTTTCTTAAAGATGCCCCACACAAAGCTCCTCAAGCATGACCTGAGTCAAAAGTAGAATCCATTTATGGTCAAAGGGCCTGGGTGAGAAAGTTCAGTTCCAAGGGTTGCCCATTTGCCAAGACGTGTTCAGGGTTCACTTCATCCTTGCTGCACGTGCCCCTGTGTTTCCTTCTGGTGTCCGTCTGAAGGAGATATTTGTCCAAAGATGGATAAGGGCCCTGCTAACATCCCAAATGTGCTGAGGTAGCATGAGGTAAAGTGACTGCGTGCACATCAGCAGGGACCGCTCTCCGTTTATTTATCAGTAACTTGATTTTGGGGTGCTTTCTGATCTTTTAGAGCCACTGTTCCTTCAATTCAGGTCCAGCTGAATGATTAGGAGTATCTGGGCCACTCATTTTGTCTTAGGACATCTCTGCCTTTGGTATATGGCTATGCCTTCCCCCTCTTTGAGATCAGCTTATTATTATTATTATTATTATTATTATTGTTAATATTATTATTGAGGAACAGTGTGTTTTTTCAGGACCCATCAACTCCAAGTCAAGTAGGTGTTTCAATCTAGTTGTGGAGGGCACAACTCAGTGGCCCATGTGGGGATCGAACCAGCAACCTTGGAGTTATGAGCACTGCCCTAACCAACTGAGCTAACTGGCCATCTTCAAGGACAGCTCCTTTTTGTGTTCTGTTTTGACTTTCTCAGGGCAGCCCTTTATTTTTTTGTACCTTTTTGTACCCTCACATTAACCTATAAGATGGACAATGTGCTCATTCTTGCCTTGGCAATGCTGCATGTGTCTCCCTCTACCCCAGAATCTTTTCTTGATTTCCATTCCCCTGAACCCTAGAGGTTTCCAAAACCCAAACCAACCTTTGTCCTGAGCAGCAGGTATCCTCAGGGCCCAGTGACCCTGGTGTGTGTTCTGGGCTCCAGCGTTTTCCTAGGTCTTAGCCTGGTAGTTCCTTATTGCCTTATCAACTCGCTGTGGCTTTTACATAAATTAAAAACGTATGTATTTTTAAATCCAGAAATTTTTGTTGTTTTCAGTGAGAGGGTTGTTCTGACTCACTAAGCCTGCCATTACTAGAAGCAGAAGTCCTGGTATAAATGGGTTATTAATTTATATAATTACCCGTGCCTCTCGATAATCCACTTAAATCCTTTCATTTGTTTTTCAAAGGAAGGAGAGACGCTGGATTATTTCCTTGAGGGAAGAAGTGGTTGTGCTTGTTTACTTGTCACCCCCACACAGGGGGCAGATGATGTCCAGGGCTGAGATTTGGGGGAGGCCAATGAGGCACACCATGGGCGTAAGATCTAAGGGGCCCCCCAAAATCTCAGTCGCTGAGATAAATGCTATTTTAGTGCAATATTTTTTAAAAAATGAACGCACAAAAAAACTCCTGATGAACAAAATGTCAACATTTTAAATAAACACAGGATCCTACCCTATGCTTGGATGACTTAGCTCCCTTACCTCACCCTGATCTGGCTCTGTCAGACCCTGTCTTTTCAAAACATTGCACTCAAATATTATTTATCACGATTACTAAAATGCTGGCACCCTTTAAATGTTGTGCCCGTGGTGATTGCCTCATATGCCTCACCCCAATCCTGGCCCCAGGCTCTTAGTATTTTCGTTTCTGTGAACTTCTGGTTGTCTAGCAGACTGGGTAGATTCCTGGTGGACTGTCAATGAGTTTTGGTGCCCAAAAAACCCACGGATGGATCTGGGTTCACGCACATTAATCATAATTCCTGTGACATTCGCTGTACTCACATCCTCTAAAGGCAAGTGTTCCAGGGCACGATAAAGAGGAGGCAAATCTATCTTCCACGTCTGGGTTTACTTAACAGCTCCCCTGCTCTGGGCTTTTTAAAGCTGCCTTAGGTAAACAATGAGTAGCTTACTAAAAATACTCTTTTTCACTGAAGCCAAGTTACAAAAAAAGAAAAGAAAATATTGCGTATGAGCAAGGATAGGCTGGGACACGCGTGGGGTCTCTGAAGCAACATTGGCCGCAACCAGCTCTTCAGGTCTCCCTGAAGTGCGCTGGATTTCACACCTGACATCAAGATGAGACAAGTTAACAGCAGGGATGGCTCCTGACCAGACCCCCTCCCCCATTCCCTGTTTCAAAACTATCTTCGTTAGTTGCTGGGCCTGGGGGTAAGGAGAGTAAGTCCAGAGAAGGGTTTGCAATTGGCCGGGCTCCTGTTTTGAAAGCTTCCTCCTGGACTTAGGATAACACTGTTCAGAAGATGGATGGGTGTTTAACAATTTCCCATTTTATTACCTGCAGACAAAGAAAAAAAAGATATAAATAGATGTTTAACCACACAAATAATTTACATTACTGTCTTCTTTATGACTATGAAATAATAAAATAAAATTAAATCAAGAGCAATAACGATTTCGGCACAGTGGTTACTAGGCAAAAACTGATATTTACACTCTCTCTGGAAACCAGACTGAAATCAGAGAACTCATAAAGTGAGTGTTGGAAGCACACCGTGGAATTTTTCTTGGTCGAATTTTTTACCGAATTTTCAAGTGAAAAGCATATTAAGCTGCTTGTCCCTTCCATTATTCCTTTTATTACGAGGGCCTGTGGCAGGCAGCCATTCATTGTTGAGATACTCGTGGCAGAGCCATCCTTGTTGAAACCCCAGGCGAAGGCACTTAATGTAGAAAGCAGAGAGCTCAAGCAAAGGGGAGAGAAGGAACGCGGACCTAGAAGCCCGTGTCCTCTCTGGGTCTTGAGAATCTTAGTATCACTCCTGGAGATAGGTACCTTCCACCTGACCAAAACAATCACAGCCGAGAAATGCAGGGGGGGAATGAAAGCAAAGCAGAGAGAAATAGGAAATTCTAGGACTGGCAGGGGCCTTGGAGAGGTTACCCAGTGTAATCCTCCGTCTGTTAAGAATGCCCACACCACTCCTGATGAATGCCAATCTCTTCCCCTTTGTCCTGAAGGGGGCACTGTAACTCCCTTCAATAACGTTCTGAGGCCTTGGTGTCCCCACTGTAGAGGCTGAGGTGGGGGTGAGGTGGGGTGGAAAATCAAGATACCTAGTTTCTGCAGCTTAGGCACAGGAATTGGTGAATTCTGCGTGTCAGAGTTCAACCTAAGATATATCATATTTTGGGAATTTCCTGAAAGTATCTTAGCTTTAGCATTTGGTGTTCGTGGTATCAGAGCTGTCTCTATCTGCACAGATATTGTTAAGATTTTTTCATGTTTCTTGGAATTTGTTTTAGTTCATCATTTGCAGTTTTTTGATGAGCCCGCCACAGTTACGACTTTTCCAGTATAATTATCCTCACTGGAGTATCGTCCTGGGTTATTGCATAGGAACCTCGTCTTTCATCTGCATCCCCACATATATGACTTACCTGCTGATCGTCACTCCAGGGACACTAAAGGAGGTACGTGCTAGTGTGTGTGTGTGTGTGTGTGTGTGTGTGTGTGTGTGTGTGTTCAGACTGGTAATTGATTTAGGAGAAAAGGGTTCTCTTGTTATGCTCTATTTAAAGGAAATAAGTCCATCACATGAAATTCACCAGGAGGCTCTCAACCTTATATATTTAGATACCTACACCATGTAGACCTCTAATGGCTGCCACTGTCATCTTGAGGCATCTTCCATAATCCTCAAGTACAACGGTGAAAGAGTGAGTCAGTCATTTGGGTGCACCACAGCACGCGGCGTGCGGTTGTGTAGCGTTCCAAACTCATCAGATAACTTTGCCTCTTACTTGCCGTTGGGCATGGTGTCTGGGGCGATAACCAAATTTTGATGTAAGTGGAGATTACGGTGGGAAATGTCCACAGTCAGTTTCCTAACAGCAATGTGACAGGGCTAGTTTGGAAATTATCACTAAATAAGGATGTGGCAACAATATCATAGTTTTAGCTCAAGCCATTGGAGTGAAAAGAAAAAAAGTTGCTGTTATAGCAAGACTCATTTCAATAATGAATAATATGCTGTAAAAATTTTAATAACAGAAACTTACAGTTTGTATCAGATTGTATATTTTTGAAAGCATCTTCACGTAGATGATCTCAAAATACCTTCTGAGGTGGGCAGCTATTATTAGCATAAAAAGACGCTAAAGCTGGGAATAATGCTATTCAAATTTCTTTTTTTCAGTGACTTTTCCAAAGACACACAATATAGGGAGGCTCAGAGTCCAAGTCTTTGGATTCCTGGTTCAATGCTCCTTCACTTTTAGATGAAGTTTCTTTTTTCTTCAGTTTGCTGTTAGCAGTTTGCTAGTGTAGAGATTGGCGCCAGACGTTAGGGAGAGATGAGATGCCATTTTTCATCCTGTGTTGCTAGAGGTAGTAGTTCAGGTCACTTACAGGTCTGTGGGTGGGTGCTTTTGTAGGGGAAGAGCTCAAAGGTGAAGGGTGGTATTTGGGGAAAGCTAGAAGAGCCCAGACTCAGTAATGACCTAAGAACTGAGATGGGCTGGTCTGTGGGCTCTTGGAAGCAAAACTCAAACATGAGACCATCACACTCATCTTCCTAAAACATTTCATGAGAAACATGAAGTTTCTTTTTCCAAACAGGAAAACTAAATTCTAAGTGAATAGAACTCTGCGAGGAGCTACTGATTTCCTATACCCAAACTGGTCCTATCACAACCTCATTCCTCCCAAAGGGCCTTGGGCTCTGGTGTTGCTTGAAATACATGCTCAGACCCAGAGTCATTGAATTTGTTCCTTGAGGTTGTCCGTTATGGCAGTCGTGATGGTCCAGGGGTAGGAACTCTAGTTAGGTTATTCAATGTCAGTATTCTTTGGTCACAGACTGCACCTCGAATCTTGGTCATCTTTCTTGTAAATATCCTGTTGGTCATAAGGAAATACCACCCAAAGACGTATAATTAACAGAGCTCAGATCCATTAGTAATAGAAGTAAGGCTGATTGCTGGGCCATCTTTTCCATCGGCCGTCAGATGGGGAATGGTGGTTTACCAGGAAGCATCATGATACAGCCAGTCAAGGAGAAGGAGGACCAGGAGGGTAAAGGCCTAGTCAGCTATGGCAAGTTACCCTCTTTGGGCCTTAGTTTCCTCATCTTCAAAATATGCTCACTGGACTAGATTAACATTTCCCAACTGTTAATTTATTTTAAGGAGCAGTAGTTCCATAGGATATTGATAGGTGTTACTGTTGGTGGGGGAAAGGTTATATAGTCAAATAATTTTGGAGAATGCTGGATTTAGGCAAGTTAAATAGATTTCTTTACTGTAGGAGTTCGCAAAAGCCTTCATATACCCATGTGCATGCTTGGTATCCGAGAGGGATAAAGCATGCCATGTTTTTTGCCAAGAACCCCAAGGGACTATAATTCATTGTGACTACCATACTTGGTGGTTTGTTATATTCTATCTGTGAGGGAGGGGGGCCTCCTATGAAGTTTTGGTATGGTTAAAAAAAAAAAAGACTAAGAGAAAGGTAAATTTATTAACTCTTTTGGGCCCTGACCATACACAAGGTTGGAGTGTGTGGAGTGAGCCACCACTTGCTCACCTGAAATTCAATGGATATCACGTGCACCTGCAGCCTGGAAGTCTCAAGGTTGGAGTCATCAACTCAGTTAGGTCATTGTCACAGAAGCCCCTAGTAACCTGCACAAAGAGACCCGGAAGATGGTCCCTAATAAGTAAGGGCTCATGAAGATGTCAACAGTGATCTATTCTTAGAGTCTGACCTTGGAAAAGGCCAGGGCTGGCCAGGCCAGACTACTACCAGAAAATGGAATATGGAATATGGAAAACGAAGGTAGGCCTGACATTTTTGGGGCCTCAGCAGCCAGAAAGGCAGCAGAATGGGTGGGTGGGGGCATAAAAGCCCAACGTTCTACTTTAGTGTGGTTCCTCATGGGCCTTGCCTCCACCATACATCTAGTGCTCGTTTCTCTCTCTGCACAACACGTAAGACCAGTTATTAGAGTGATCTGTGTCCAGTTCCCAATTAGTGAGATATAATTCTGTGTAATCAGGTCACATACTCACCTGTGAGGAAGGATGGTGTGTGAAATTTTGCTTTTTATGACTTGACATGTCCACGGAGCTGATGAGCACTGCAGCAACTCCTTTTGAGAGGGTTTCCAGTGTGAAGTTTCAGTATTTGAATATTAAGGTAATCAGGAACACAACATGTACAATTTTGTGAATTTATTAACTATGAAAATGGACCTTTCTGAATTCCATAGGCCCTGCTCCTTAAAGAAGAACAAACTCCCATAACCAGGAAATTAAAAAAAAGGTTTAAGGGGACTACGGACTTTTTCCATCCAAAATAAAAAGGACAAGTAGTAGAGCTTCATCTAAAATTAATAAATTAAAAGATGCTTTCAGATCCAATTTTGCCTGCTTACCATACAGACTTTTGCCTTCAAAGACTTTACTAAGCAACTTAATATTTTTCTGTTAATATTTTTATTTTTCAATTACAGTTGACATAAATGTTATATAGTTTCAGGTATACAGCACAGTGATCAGACATTTATATAACTTACAAAGTGATCACCCCATAAGCCTAGTACCCATAATAAAGATTTTTCTAAGCCTCTGCAGTGCTGCTGTTTTTCCTTCTCCACATCCCTGAGCTGCTTCATGTCACCCTGATGCTTTTACAAGGCAGGCTGTATATTTCATACACAAGCCAAAGCATATTTCAGATCTGTCTTAAAGCTTCTGTGCACCTCAGCTGTTTCTGAAGTAAAAATTCTCAGCCGTTCCCCTCTGAGCAGGAGATTGCTTTAAGAGCAACTGACGATCTCAATGGTCACATCTAAATTTAATTAGGTGATAATTTGCACCATTGTACCCCTATGACCTAACTAGCACTCCTTTATAGGTGGGTTTGCTAAATCAGTAATATCCTGGCTGCTACGGTGGCTGGCACTGTGCACTGTGCTTGTGTGTGTGTGCATGGCTGAGGGGACTGGGGGGGGGCAGGAGGGGCAGAATCCAGGACTCACTCTGTTCCCCAAGCCCTGTGTAGCCACATGAAGCCTCCCCTGTCCAGAGAAAAAGATGCCCTTTCCCAGGTCATCAAAGGCATGTTACAGGCCAGCCAAGGTTCTATTGAAGGCTCACAGTTTTCTCCCATTAGTGATATAATGACTTTCTTAGTTTACAGATGCTTATAGTCCCTGAATATTCATTTTCTCCATACTCGAGAATGAATAAATTGGGAATTCCTTCCTGAGTCAATGAGACTATTCCAACTTACTATTAAATGCCATTAAAATGCTATTTACATTTTAATATTAATGTTGAAATATTTTTTCAATACTGTTAAGTTACAAGAATGCTTATAACATCAAATTTTCTCCACAACAGCGTATTATTAAAAGTATCACTCCAGAGACACCAACAGAAATTCCCTGTGGGGAGATCCGCTTGAATGCTGTATAAAGCGCTTCAACAAGAGGAAAATGGCTTCCCAACCTCTTCCTCCAGTTCTGACAAGTCACACCTGCCTTCTCCCTCTAAGTGAATGAGTTTCCAGCTACGCCTGACAATGGATGGGCCTTCTTCATGTATTGGGATACAGTCCCAAAAGACTACGGTGCCCAGACTCTCATGGCCTCTGGCCACTTCTTTCTGTGAAAACTCCTGGATGTCTTGCCATGTTACACTCTGATGCAGCTGAACGGAACTATTTTGGATGTATGAGGGTGCATATATATGGAGGGGATGAAAACCACCATACAAATCAGTTAGGATTACATGTAGAATCAAGTACAGTCTCCTGTATCATTTCTTGTTGTGATCACTGGTATCTGACATGTGTTTGCTTCTAAAGGATTCACTGTTCACGAATGCATCAAGCCATGTGGGAGGAAAGGGATGCTGTCTTGCTAGCCATATATTTTCTGAGTAGCATAGAATTCTATAGCTGGATCTACTAGAACCCTGTCACCCATGTGCTGCTGTGGAGTCAGGAGAGGAAGATGTAAGAAATTAACCTGAAAAATAATGTGTACATGTGAGCATGTGTGTCTGTGTATGCTGTTGTTTCAGTGTGTCCTTATCTTTGTCCCAATACTTTTGCCCCATTACAAACTATATGAGTTTCCTCTAATTTTTCTTACATTAACAAAGTCTACCTACTCAAATGTGTATGTTATTATTTGAAGAGTCTAATTACTGCCACATGTTCTGCCACCTTCTCCTTTGCCAGTGACACTACTTGAGCTCACCCACCTTTCTTTAGGGGCCAGGCTTTAGAATTTGCTGCACTTGCCATTCTCTCTCTCTCTCTCTCTCTCTCTCTCTCTCTCTCTCTCTCTCTCTCTCTCTCTCTCTCTCCCCCTCTTCCCCCCTCCTCCTCTCTCTCCTTCCCTCCCTCTCTCTCTCTTCTTCTCTCTCCCTCTCTCCCCCTCCCACACCCCCTCTTTACTAAACATTTAGGATAATGTTCCCCATGCAAATCTGGCCTGTTTCATTAGTCACTGTGGCTTGGCCATGAGCTACTTTGAAGATGGATATTGACAAATGCATCTTCGGTGTTCAGTTGGCTATCTGATTTAAGCTCTGTAGACTTCAAATGACTGAGTTTGACCGTTGAGGTTACTTTGCTTTGGGAAGAGAGAATAAATCCAGTTCTCGCTTATAGGGTACATAGATTTGGCACCCTGACCTATACCAAGGTCACCCTCAATCCAAAAGTAATTGGAGAGTCTGGGATAGCCTTAAATGGACCCTCCCTGCCCACCCCCCAACTCCATGATCCTTCCTGGTTGACTACCAGGATTGTGAGCCCTCCAGATAATTTTCAAGATTGAGCCTAAGTAAGGCTGATTCAGAAAGGGTTAAGGGAATAACCCTTCACTCCACACAAAACCCTTAATACATATCAAATAAATTTGACGTTCAGTGGCTTGTGACTCTCAGATGCATAGGTAGAGAAGCTAATTTTACATTGTAGTGTGAGATTTCCTTATCGAAATCTTAAAGGGAATAAAACATAGTGATAAAAGGACTCAATCATCTAGCCCCATTTCACTTCAGTCCTCTATCTAAATCAAATATAATTCTAACAATCTTATAGAAAGAAGATTCATATAGCAGAGGTCTGTTTTTATTCATTTATTGTTCTTCCTCCCTCAGCTTCCTTTCTCCAACAATCTTCCCTGGCCGTCTTCTAGTATTCACACCCCTCTCCCCACCCCCACTCCCGGCATCCTTCCCTTTCTGATTCTTTGCTTTTCCCAGCAGGGTATTTTCCTTATAGATGATAGCTGCTGAGAAGTTTCCAGAAATAGTACAGAAAAAGTGGAGGGGGATTTAAAGAATTCCATACCGACCTACCTTCATTATTTTCACTTTTTCATTCCTTCTTCCTACCTTATTTCCATTGTCTTTGCTTTCTATTATAGCATGCTGAAAGGAGATAGGTTGTATAAGTGGCAGCATATTTAGTGGTCAATAGCTTTGCAAATTTTAAGACTTGCATTATATTCGGATATGGATTCTTCCCCATCCCACACACATTTATGCAGTCTCCAAAGGTAACTTTTTAAAAAAATTACTTTTTCAAACAGAATTAGAGACTCGGTGTTTTGAAAAGTTTTCAAACTTCACTAGACTTAAAAAAAAAATCCAAAACCTCTGTCTGCATAGTTTGTATTTTATTGACTCCTATTTATCAATACTACTATGGATTTTTTTTTAAAGGAAGATGAGTAGGTAGATGGACTTTAAAATAATTTTTTAAAGAACTTTTCCATCTAATGTAGTATTTACATAAAAATAAAAAAATGGACTTGCAAAGTTATTTAAATACTGAATTTAATTTTTTTGATATGATTTTATTAGTAAGAAATAGATAAGACACAAGACAAAGACATGGAGGTGATTCAATTAAGGTTGCTTCCTATATTGATATGTAATGAATTCCAAAGAATTTGCCTCCCTTCCAGAAAACTTACAACCCTTTTAAAGTTTATTTCACTGTTGTATGGAATGCACATGACCTGTAACCTAAACTCATTGCCCTCGCTGCCACATCTGGAGATGAATGCAAAGACCTTGACAAACTCAAAATCAATAGAAGAGCTCCAAAACCAAGTAATGAAATCTTAAATTCAGGCAAAAAGCTATTCTGTGAGTCCTCTCAGCACTCTCTTTTTATTAAGCTTGTTAATTTGGTGCCACCAATCTCAAAATGTAAGTGCCAGTATGATTTTCCACTTAACTCACACACAACGTCCCCACCCCTTAAAAGGGAGGTGATTCTCCTGGAATTAGAATTGTATTCTTTCTGATGAGTCGGAAAGACTGGCCCAAGTTTTCTATCTGTTGTATACTTGATTTGGCGTTCACTGTCAAAGCAAAGCTTAAAACTACGGAACGCAGTGGCTTAACTGTGCTGTTCTTACGTGCGTCTTGGATAATGCTTAGCTACCCAGTGGTACAAGACAAGCCTGGTTCCCTTCTCAGCCTCTTTACTCATAAATCAACAGCTGGTGCTTAAAATACCATTAAACGCAGCAGTAACCAGAGGGTATTTTTCACCCTCCCCTTTTCTTATTTTTTATTATTATTTTTTATTTTTGGTCAGGGAGGGATGGGGAATAAGAGCAGTAAATTCCTCAGAGTGACTGTGCTACAACCTGTCATCCCCATAAGTAACGTAATAAAAGCAAAACACTCATATGCTATGTGGGAAGTTGTGTATTTTAAAGTCATCATGGAGTTCATATATTATCTACAATGCAAGGAGAGTGAGACAGAGGGTCTAAATTTGTAAGGTGAGCTTAGATAATGCTTGCTTGAGAAGCATGTTAGAGAATGAAATTTATAAACCCAAATACGGAAAAGGAAACGTTAAGACGGATTATCCCTATACTATAGAAAGCTTTTCTTTCCACTTGAAAGTCTTGAGGTTTTTTTTCTTCAATATCAGAGATAAGTCAATTAGTTATTAAAATTTGTGTCTCGTTCCATGGAAGGACTATTTCAAAGCTCTAAATCTTTTTTTCCTGCTCTCTGTAATATCACCTTTTCCCCCTCATTGTTTCACTGTCTCTAAATTTCAACGAGAGAACAATATTTTAAGTTCAGATAACTACATTAGAGGCAGAATCAAACCTAGTAACAAAGCTAATGTCTCTGTTCTTCTTCGACTCTGGAAATTTCTAAAGAAAGGTGAACTTAAGTTTTATTTCCTCTGCTGGAATGAAATAATACCCCTCTCAATTGGCTTAGTAGGCATTTACCACAATGAAAAGATATTTTAGGATGGGATCTTAAATATGCCTGTCCTTTTGTTTCATATAATATTGGAATCTATTCAGTATGGTTTCTACATTAGGTGTTTCCAAACGACTCACCTTTTCAAGAAAAGTCTTTTTGGGGCATGACTCACAATATATTTCAATTAGAATTTTAGGTGGTATTTCTCTTACCAACACATCACAAAATCCATGCCAAACTACGTTTTTGTTTGTTTTTTATCAAAATAAATTTTCTGCATTGGACAACTCCAATTTAGAAACAGTATGCATTGGCGGGGTGCCTCATCAGAAAAATGTTTTAATGTCTGCTAAAGAAGAACCTTATCATTTAGAGAAAAGAATAGATGATATCAGTCCTTCAATTCTATGACTAAAGACTCCAAATATAGATAATTTATTTCTAGCAATTTGTAAACACTGAGTCCAAACAACAAATATTTGGGGAAGAATTATCCCATCTTTGTTAAACTACCTAAATTTCCATAAACAAAAGCATTTGCTAGTTTTTAAAAAAGGTATTTTGAAAGATTATTCTTATTCAAGCTCTAATATTAGAAGTGTATCTTAAGAAAATCTGATATATGAAAAACGCATATTTTAAAAGATAAAATTAGGGACTTCAAAGAAGAATTTGCAGTTATTTCTCCAATGGCATTTAAAATATGATTTGACTTAAAAATTTTCAGGATACTTTGTATATTGGGCATATCCAGGAGGTACTTCAAATTCTAGATTATGGTTAATTGAATTATATAAATGGTATTTTTCTCTCATCTTTACTTTCTCCTTCCACATTACTTACAGCTAAGGATAAGAAAATTTCTTCCACTTTTCACCTCTGTAAAGTGGTAATATAAAATTAACCAGTTACATTTTACATGAAACGTCTTATTTTTAAACTTTAGTGGTGGAAGTAAACCTAAGGTTTATTTGTATAAAAGAGTCGCCTCTTTAAGATACACAGAATGTCCCTATATTCATTTATGCAATTTAGTCATAAATGCTCCAAGTTAGATTGTGACACATCAGTACATGTCTTAAGGCTGTGAAGTATTACTGTGATAACTCTTAACATCATGATAGATTTGTTCTGTCTCAAAATCAAAAACAAAAACTTCCAAACTTTTAAGGTTAAAATAAAAATCTGAATTTTAACTATATATTGTCAAAACATTTACATAGTTCTCCAAAATATCACTGCATATCATTTAGCATTAAAACTACCTAGAATTGGAGATATTAAATTTTAGTAAAGCTAAATACTTACAATTCCTTGCAATTTGTGCAGAGCTGTATAATGTGCTTTCACATATATCATCTCACTTGATCATCAGAGTTCTGGGGGACAAATGTTATTTCCCTAGTTTTGCAGATGAGGAGCCTGAAGCTCAGAGAAGTTAACTGATTTGCCCAAATTCACACAGCTGGAAAATTCTAGAACAGGTCATCTGCCTAGGTTTTCTGATTGCTGGCCAAAGGTTACCTGCATGTCTATCTTTCA